CTGTCTGTATGTACTTTGTCATTTTGAAGACCTCCTCTGGCAGCCCTGGGTTAAGGTAAGAGTAAGTCAGTTGGGTGTTCATTTTTTAGGTGCCATCATTTTTTTCCTGGGATAATCCGATCTCTAAGGTATACAGTAGGGGCCTCCAAATGTTTTAAACAAAGGACCAGTTTACTGTGCCTCCAACTTTCAGGAGGTCGGGCTGTGGCCAGAGGAAGTAGAAAATGTCCCATCTATGTTATAAGGGGTAATATTAATGCCCTGTCGTTGGTGTCAGTGGAAGGAATAGTGCCCCATCATTGGTGTCAGTGGGAGGAATAGTGCCCCATCATTGGTGTCAGTGAGAGGAATAGTGCCCCATCATTGGTGTCAGTGGGAGGAATAGTGCCCCATCATTGGTGTCAGTGGGAGGAATAGTGCCCCATCATTGGTGTCAGTGGGAGGAATAGTGCCCCATCATTGGTGTCAGTGGGAAGAATAGTGCCCCATCATTGGTGTCAGTGGGAGGAATAGTGCCCCATAATTAGTGTCAATGGGAGGAATAGTGCCCCATCATTGGTGTCAGTGGGAGGAATAGTGCCCCATCACTGGTGTCAGTGGGAGGAATAGTGCCCCATCATTGGTGTCAGTGGAAGGAATAGTGCCCCATCATTGGTGTCAGTGGGAGGAATAGTGCCCCATCATTGGTGTCAGTGGGAGGAATAGTGCCCCATCATTGGTGTCAGTGAGAGGAATAGTTCCCCATCATTGGTGTCAGTGATAGGGATAGTGCCCCATCATTGGTGTCAGTGGGAGGAATAGTGCCCCATCATTGATATCAGTGGGAGGAATAGTGCCCCATCATTGGTGTCAGTGAGAGGAATAGTTCCCCATCATTGGTGTCAGTGAGAGGAATAGTGCCCCATCATTGGTGTCAGTGGGAGGAATAGTGCCCCATCATTGGTGTCAGTGGGAGGAATAGTGCCCCATCATTGGTGTCAGTGAGAGGAATAGTTCCCCATCATTGGTGTCAGTGATAGGGATAGTGCCCCATCATTGGTGTCAGTGGGAGGAATAGTGCCCCATCATTGATATCAGTGGGAGGAATAGTGCCCCATCATTGGTGTCAGTGAGAGGAATAGTTCCCCATCATTGGTGTCAGTGAGAGGAATAGTGCCCCATCATTGGTGTCAGTGGGAGGAATAGTGCCCCCATCATTGATGTCACTGGGAGGAATACTGCCCCATAATTAGTGTCAGTGAGAGGAATAGTGCCCCATCATTGATATCAGTGGGAGGAATAGTGCCCCATCATTGGTGTCACTGGGAGGATTAGTGCCCCATCATTGGTGTCAGTGGGAGGAATAGTGCCCCATCATTGATATCAGTGGGAGGAATAGTACCCCATCATTGGTGTCAGTGGGAGGATTAGTGCCCCATCATTGATATCAGTGGGAGGAATAGTACCCCATCATTGATATCAGTGGGAGGAATAGTACCCCATCATTGATATCAGTGGGAGGAATAGTACCCCATCATTGGTGTCAGTGGGAGGATTAGTGCCCCATCATTGGTGTCAGTGGGAGGATTAGTGCCCTATCATTGGTATCCGTGGGAGGAATAGTGCCCCATCATTGGTGTCAGCGGGAGGAATAGTGCCCCATCATTGGTGTCAGGGGGAGGAATAAACATACACAAGATAAAGATATCTTAAAAATACATAAAAGAGCAAAAATACAAAGCACACAGCACAAAAAGAAAAGAAATCCCCCCCAGAAAACTTCGACCTAGAGCATACCCAGATCTAATCAAAACAATAAGTGAGTGAAGAGCATTGTGACAGCCAGAAAAAGTCCAACATTACCTACGGGCCCCATTTTTAATAAACTAAACAATACCACAATACCTGAAAGAGCCTGAATCCTAACTTGACACTGGACTCGTGAGCTGACCAAGGTGACCAAATGGAATCAAACCTCTTTGATGAATTTCTGAGAAAGAAAGTGTGTCTCTCCTTTGAAATGCACTTTTTAAGATCAAATATCCAATCAGATAAAGTGGAAGGGTGCGGAGAGGTCCACTTAAGGGCAATTTGCCTTCGAGCCATGAACAGCACGTTTGTATTTTACTTTGTGTATTTCAGGTACTTTTATAGTGCTGTCAATTTACGCAACACTTTACATATAAACTGCTCAAAAATATAAAAGGAACACTGAAAACACATCAGATCTCAATGGGGAAAAATATCATGCTGGATATCTATACTGATATGGACGGGTAATGTGTTAGGAATGTAAGGATGCCCCATCGTTTGATGGAAATTAAAATTATCAACCTACAGAGGACTGAATTCAAAGACACCCGAAAATCAAACTTACAAAAAATGCTGCAAGCTGCCTAGTTCATTTTGCTGAAATTTCATTGCAGCAAATCAAAATGGTATTCAGTAGTTTGTATGGCCCCCATGTGTTTGTATGCATGCCTGACAACGTCGGGGTGTGCTCCTAATGAGACGATGGATGGTGTCCTGGGGTATTTCCTCCCAGATCTGGACCAGGGGCATCACTGAGCTCTTGGATAGTCTGAGGTGCAACCTGGCGGTATGGGACAGACAGTAACATGATATCCCAGAGGTGTTGTATTGGATTTAGGTCAGGCCAGTGTGGGGGCTATTTAATGGTATCATTTCCTTCATCCTCCAGGAACTGCCTGCATACTCTCACCACATGTGGCCAGGCATTGTCATGCACCAGGAGGAACCCAAGACCCACTGCACCACCGTAGGGTCTGACAATGGGTCCAAGAATTTCCTCCCGATACCTAATGGCAGTCAGGGTTCCATTGTCTAGCCTGTAGAGGTCTGTGCGTCCCTCCATGGATATGTCTCCCCAGACCATCACTGACCCACCACCAAAACAGTCATGCTGAACCATGTTACAGGCAGCATAACGTTCTCCACGGCTTCTCCAGACACTTTCACGTCTGTCACGTGTGCTCAGGGTGAACCTGCTCTCATCTGTGAAAAATGCACTATGCTATCACAAGATCCACTGTCACAATGCCAGAGATTGCTTTGTGGGATTCAGATCTATGCATGCTCCATCACCTCCACCCCACCAAGTGCTGCTGCTTAAGGATATAGGGGGAGAGTCAGGTGTTCCCCTGCAGTGGAAGAGATGGGTGGTGGATTAGGGCAGGAGGATATTGCAGAAAAGGTAAGTACTGTTTCTTATGGCCCTTTATTGTGTGCACTGAACCTGTTACATTGCCTAGAAAGGTGGGGGAAAAAATATACATATATATATTTTTTTTTTCTTTACCGTGCTTAAAAGTGTTACTAAACCCACATCAGTAAAATCAGTCTGTGTATGCAGTAAAACATGCTTTTACACTAACTGTGGAACCTAGGGGGTTAATCCTCTGCATTGTGTAAAAAGGCTGTATGATTCTGTCTTCTCTGGTCCTCCCCTTCTTCTACTGTCCCCAATCCATTTGCAGATAGAACAGAGCCTTGGGGGCAAGATATACATGCTCAGTTTCATGTGTACTGCTAAAGAGTTTTTTTATTCTTGGGAAAGTGTATGTGATCAGCACAAGGCCAATCAGTGCTGTCCAGACAGAGGAACAGGGGTCATGCAGCCTCATAGGACAATAAGGGAAGAATGAAAACTCATATTACAAGCTTTAACCGGTGATTTGCTGGACACTGATAGAAGTCACAAGCAGGGGCGGACTGACAACTCATGGGGCCCCCGGGCAATAGGGGATCATGGGGCCCCTGTGTCCTCGTCCACACTTAAACCACACCCAAAAAAGCCTATGAAAGGTATCAATGGCATCTCATGGGGCCCCCTACTGACCCCGGGCCCTCGGGCGGTGCCCGAGTTCCCAAATGGTCAGTCCGCCCCTAGTCACAAGACTGCTCTAACTGCTTATGAGAAAAGGTATTTAGCGGTTTATATTTATTAAAATAATTGCATTTTCATGTTCTGTGTACTGTGGGAGACCGGATATAGTGAATGCAGGGTCCGGGGAGACCAGATATAGTGAATGCAGGGTCTGGGGAGACCAGATATAGTGAATGCAGGGTCCGGGGAGACCAGATATAGTGAATGCAGGGTCCGGGGAGACCAGATATAGTGAATGCAGGGTCCGGGGAGACCAGATATAGTGAATGCAGGGCCCGGGGAGACCAGATATAGTGAATGCAGGGTCCGGGGAGACCAGATTTAGTGAATGCAGGGTCCGGGGAGACCAGATTTAGTGAATGCAGGGTCCGGGGAGACCAGATATAGTGAATGCAGGGTCCGGGGAGACCAGATTTAGTGAATGCAGGGTCCGGGGAGACCAGATTTAGTGAATGCAGGGTCCGGGGAGACCAGATATAGTGAATGCAGGGTTCGGGGAGACTAGATATACTGAATGCAGGGTCCGGGGAGACCAGATATAGTGAATGCAGGGTCCGGGGAGACTAGATATAGTTAATGCAGGGTCCTGGGAGACCAGATATAGTGAATGCGGGGTCCGGGGAGACCAGATATAGTGAATGCGGGGTCTGGGGAGACCAGATATAGTGAATGCAGGGTCTGGGGAGACCAGATATAGTGAATGCGGGGTCTGGGGAGACCAGATATAGTGAATGCAAGGTCCGGGGAGACCGGATATAGTGAATGCAGGGTCCGGGGAGACCAGATATAGTGAATGCAGGGTCCGGGGAGACCGGATATAGTGAATGCAGGGTACTGGGTTTTAGTAACACTTTAAGTTTGATATGTTAAAACTCTTGGATTGTAAGCTCCAAGGAGCAGGGCCCTCCTCTTGTATTGAACTGTATTGTTGCTGCATTGTCTCCCGTTATATTGTAAAGCGCTGAGCAAACCGTTGGTGCAATGTAAATCCTGTATAATAATAATAAGTGTTTTTTAGTGGTGTTGTATTTTTGTATGGATGGTATTTTATTATATCAAGGCCCATGTAATGGAACCCCCATACATCTCTGCATTCCTCTTCTGCTTTCCACAGGGGTCTGAGCATTGACAAGAAGCCAGAGCTCCAGAGAGTGTTGGAGAATCGACGGAGAGACAAGATCATCCAGCAGAAGAAAGAGGAAGAGGAGATTAAGAAGATGCAGTCTCCCTTTGAACAAGAGTTGCTAAAAAGACAGCAGAGACTGGAACAGGTGAGCACACGGATTTCTGTCTGCATGTAAATGTCACGGTTAGGGTACCCGGGTGCTCACATTGACTTGTATGCAGCACGGGCATACAGTAAAAAGCAGGGCACAACACGTTATACTGTATGTCTGTTTGTGCTTTGGCTATAGAGGTATTTATTTTATTTATTTATTTCAGGTACATATATAGCAATGTACATTTACGCAGCGCTTTACATATATATATTGTACATTCACATCAGTCCCTAACCCTCAAGGGGGGCAGTCTTGTAGTAGATGCTTCTGACACAGGCTTATCAGGAGGAAAAACAAAAAAGTGATTGGACAAGTTTCTGCTACTAATTCATGGTGTCTGGTGGTGCCTTGTAGACATTAGATTACTTCCCAAACTGACTAAAAATAGACACATCAGGGAGCTGTCGTCTAAATTCTGACAGCACATTTAGGCACATTAGGGATTTAAGTAGTTACCTTTGGGGGATTAAAGAGCGGATAGCTAATTTTAGGAGTTTTAAACACTTGAGCCAAAACTGAAAATGATTTACACACATGAGAGCCAACCAGCTCAATTTTTTATCCAGACGTTGCAGTGGTGTACCAATATATTCCTTTCCCATATGTCTGTACTCTGGCGATCCTGGAACTCGTCTGCTGGTAATACTAGAACACCTTTTCACTGCCTTTCACAGCCAGAAAACAGAAACAAAATAGATTCTCACAGCCACCAAAACTTGGAGAGTCTAAATATGATCTGTATTTAAGGAAGCAGAATGTTTACTGAATATTGTTAGTGGCTTACTAAAGGCTTTCCTGTGTTGCCTGGAATTTTTGTAGGGTTAGGTTAAGGATTAAACAGGTTATAAAGGCTGTTTCTTCTTTCTTAAAATAGCAAACATGTTATACTTATCTGCTCTGTGCACTGGAATTGCACAGAGCTGTCCTGAGCTTCTTCTTTTGGGGTCCTCTGTTGGTGCTTTCTGCTGCTCCTTGTCTGTGTCTGCCACCATAACAAGACACATGCTATTGGGGCAGACATGTGGGCTTGTTCCTGAGCCAGGCTGTGTGAACCCATCAACACACAGAGCACAGCCCCACAGGATTTGATTGACAGCAGCAAAAGCCAATGGCTCCTTTTGCAGCCTATCTGTCCTGTGAATGCTTGGAAAGAGCTGCTACAGATGGGCACAGCGCTGGATTGAGTGAGGGCGGGAGAGGTAAGTATTTAGGGAGTTGAGGGGGTGGTACTGATACTGGGACATTTATTTACCTTAATGTGGTTCCAAAGGCAGAAAGTTTGTTACCTTAACACATTCTATGCATTAGGGTAAAAAACTTTCTGCATGAAGCCTCCTAAATACTTACCTGAGCCCAATTGATCCAGCAATGTGTGGAGAGATGCGCCTCTCTCGGCTCTCTCTCTTCTCAGTGGACAGAGAGGCAGCAGTGGGAGCCATTGAGGAGGGAGTGGAGGTGGGGCCCCCATACACAAAGAGCTGGCTTGGGAGTGAGCCTGCACAAGCGGGGCAGGAGGGGCCAGGCAAGGAGTGCCGGTGGGGGACCACTGAAGAGAAGGATCAGGGCTGCACAGAGCAGATAAGTGTCAAAGTGTAGCCTGTAGATTACTGCCTGTGAAATTCTTACCTCTTGCTGCAGGGGTTCTGCTAGACCTGTGCTATTCACATGTGTTGTTGGCACCTATGTGCTATCACCTGATATTTTGTGGGTTTATTTCCCTTTCCTCTCTATCACGTCCTGGCCCGCCTCCCAGCTTGCCTCTGTATAAAAGAAATGCCCAGTGCAGCCTCCATTGCCTAAGCAACTTCCTAGGTCTCTGAGCTCCTGTTTCCCTAGTGTTACTTCTATTCACTGTCTGATGTCCCATGTACCGATCCCGGCTTCATCCACCGTGTTCGCTTGCCTGCTGCCTGCCCTGACCGTGGTCTGTTTCCCAGAACATTTTCTGTCTCCTGCCATCTGTACTCTGCATATGTGAGCGGTCTCCACATCATCAGCTAGGTGTACCTAGGGGCCGCGACTTGGTTCCAGCTTGCTGCAAGTCTATCCCCACCATCAGGGGCCCTGGTGAAGAAGCAAGCTGAGGAACCTCGAGTTGGTGTTCTACAAGGGCTCACTACCACAGAAATCTAACAGTAAGCAGAACATGTTTGTTATTTTTTTTAAAAAAATAAAATTTTGCCTTCAGAATCACTTTCGTGCATGAAATGTTATGAAAAATGTTATGACTTTAGAACCACTTCTTATCCGGACACTTTTACCCCCTTTCAGTATAGGCCAATTTTCAGCTTTCAGTGCTATCACACTTTGAATGACAATTGCGCGGTCATGCAACACTGTACCCATATGAATTTTTTAGCATTTTTTTTGAGACAGATAAAACTTTATTTTTGTGGTATTTATTCACCACGGCGATTTTTATTTTTTTGCTATATAAATGAAAAAGTCTAAAACTTGAAAAAAAATGTTTTTCTTATAAAATGTTGCAAATAAATAATCGATTGGATGTCAGTAGATGTCAGCACACTTGTCCACTGACACCCGCCGGTCCATAGAGGTCTATGGATGGTTTGATCAGGTCCGCCTGAAAAACTAACAAGTGGACCCGATTGGACCATCAGTATGAAAGGGCCCTTAAACAGAAAGATAAAAAGAAAACAATTTTGTATCTTTCTGTTTATTCATCTACAGATCAAAGAGATGAACTTCAGTCTGCAGATAGTCAGTTAACCTCTCCCTAGCGGTCTGATTATGTCCATATTTCTGTGCTCAAAGCGGTACATTTTTTTGCATGGAAATATGTTTTTTTTTATTGTAGGCCTGTAATTTTTAGGAATAACTTACTGAAATCTGTCTGAAAAGAGTCTAGTAAACATCCCAGGTATGATACAATTTGAAACACAAAATCATAAATTATAATTTTTAATAAATAATAATAAAAAATAATAATATAATAATAAATTTAATTCAATAATATAATCAAACCAAAAACACTGAAATTTGAAATATAGCGCCAAGTTCGCACATCACTGAGCAAAGTCGCAAAATTGTTTTCAGTGTCTGATGAGGAATTTCCCCCACGAATCATTATCACTCAATTCTGCAAGTGGTTCTGATTTACTATCGCTGTTCTCTAGCCGGTCTAAAACCGCTTTTGACCTAAAGGGACGCTTTTTGGACGCCATGGATGTTTCTCAGTTTCCAGGCAGAAAGAACAGTAAAAATGCAGGCAGGGCACAGGACAAAGCACTCGGGACAAAATGTATGTGAAATGGTTTGATACAGTCATGTTTTACTCTGTGATTTTAGTGTATTTAGTGAATGTCACTTTTTGTCATTTTCAAATTTCCCGCCGTTCCGTCCCCCGTACGTCCCGACGCTCGCAGGGTACGGAACCCAGATGACAGATGTCAGCATCCGCCGGATTACATTACAGGGGACACTGCAGAGGGGACATCGCAGGAGCGCAGGACAAGGTAAGTGATCGAGGGAACGCGGTGCAACGCCACATGGTAAGCCCGAGTGTAGCTCGGGGTTACCACTTGTGGTACTGAAACTTTACCCCGAGCTACACTCGGGAATACCGCCAGGGAGGTTAAAAGCGACCTGTCAAGCAAAAAAAAGTTGTTTTTTTTTGTTAAATGTTCCTCTGTTTAACCCCTTATTAACCCTTACTCTAATCAGTCCTAATTAAAGGGGTTCTAAAGGCTCAAGGTTTTTTACCTTCATGCATTTTATGCATGAAGGTAAAAAACGTCCTGTGTGTAGCAGACCTCCGTCCCCTCATAATACTTACCTGAGCCTCATCCCGATCCAGTGATGTCCACAAGAGCCTCGCTTCTCCAGGCACTCTTGCTCCTGATTGGCTGAGGCCAGTGATCCAATCAGGAAAGGTAGTGGGCGGGGCCGAGATGTGTCTCTGTGTGTAAATGGACAATCTGCTTGCTGTGGGGGCACCCAAAAGGAGGGAGGGGCCAGGAGCACCGGGGGGGGGGGGGGGGGGGGGGGGACCCGAGAAGAAGAGGATTCAGGCTGCTCTGTGCAAAACCATTACACAGAGCAGGTAAGTATGACATGTTTGCTATTTAAAAAAAAACAAGACTTTAGTATCACTTTAACTCCTTATTCTCCTTCTCCATTTAATCATTATTTTCCTGCTATTTTTTTTGTTAATTTCTATTTTATAAACCACTTAAAACCTTTTTTGTTTCTGTTTGCTTTGTTCGTTAATATATTTACAGCTTTAACATATATTTACATGTTGCACGTTGAAAAAAGCGAAACATTGAAAAAAATACATTTATTTCATTTGTAAATAACTTTTCAATGCCTTGTATCAGAATCATAATTTTAGTGTCATTTTAAACAGGACAAATTACAGAATAAAATGTGAACTTTCTATGTGTAGTAACAAACTTTATTTTTAAACTAACACTGCTCAAAAACAGAAAAAAGGTTTTTTTTTTTTAATTTTGTTACATTTAACTGTCTAAGGATTGTGACAAAAATATAACAGTTGCAAAACAATATTCATGAAAAGAAAGCCTTGCTTATATGTATTATGTTGTTATCAAACCCAGAACCCTACATTCACTATCTGATCTCCTATAGTACACAGAAAATGGAAATGCAATTATTTTAGTAATTATAAACTGCTAAATACCTTTTCTCGTCTGCAGTATATAGTAGTCTTGTGACTTCTATCAGTGTTCAGCCCAGCACACGTTAAAGCTTGTAGGAGGAGTTTTCATTTTGCTCTAGGAGGATGCAGAACCCCTGCTGACAACTGAAGTGAAAACAGTTGCCGGAAGGTATAGGTAATAGGTATTGGTGAGTACAAACGTATCGGTACTCGTACTTGCTGTAAAAAAGATGGTATCCTAAATTTAACTTGTCCTTTACCAGTCTCCCACCACTAGAACTAAGGTATCATAGCTGGAGTGATGTCCCTGGTCTTGGCAATGGGGACACAGACATGAAAACCTGAGGTTCAAACACTTCCCTACTCTACCCAAAACAAAAATAGCTTTTGGTTTGAGTTCACCTCCCCATCCTCTTGTACCACATTATTCACCATACAAGCACTCCATGAACTGAAAGTGATTCTAAAGGCAATTAAAAAAAAAATGTTACACTTACCTGCTCTATAATGGTTTTGCACAGAACAGTCCTGATCCTCCTCTTCTGGGGTCCCCTGCTGGTGCTCCTGGCTTCTCTCCCCTGCTGAGTGCCCCCATAACATGCCATTTGCTATGGGGGCACTTATGCATGCTAGCTCCAGAGTCCCAGTCTTTGTGTCCATTGACACACAGAGCACATCTTGGCCCCTCCCCCTCTGCACTGGCTGTGATTGACAGAAGCAGGAGCCATTGGCCTTTCTGTCCACCAGTGAGGAGAAGGAGCCACTGCTCTCATGCACATTGCTGGATTGAAATTGGGCTCAGGTAAGTATTTAGGCGGACTGGGGGGTGGAGCTGAACACAGAAGGGAGAAAAATGCAGAGAATGCATTAAGGTAAAAAACCTTCAGCCTTTAGAACCACTTCATATAATACAAAACAAGTGTGGCATGTGCTGTATAGCTACTTATTTATTCATAATATTCATTTTTTCTTTTTAATTGTTCTGTTTAGCTGGAAAAGGAACAACAAGAACCGAAGGAAGAAAGTCATGCCCCAGAATTTATAAAAGTGAAAGAGAACTTAAGGAGAACGGCCACACTACCCAGCGATGACCGAATGTTGTAACGCCAGCAGGCTTGAAGTTTTCTATCGAAATGAATTCGTCACGCCACCTGGGCATCTGTGTACTAGGATGACATTGCAGACATGTCTCTTCAAGGAATTCTCCCTAATCCTAACTGCAGTGTGTACACACCTTCCTGTCCACAGAAGCGGAGTACCACTCTACATACAGCCGCTCCAGTGTTGAATACATGATGCTTAGCCCTATCACTTGGGGGAAAAAAAATGTTACATGACCGCACGTGGCTGTGAAGATTCGTGGCTAAACTGATGTGTTGCCTACGCTTTCCGTGTGACATCACTTCTTCTGTAGGTTACCATGTGTATGTGCTGTACATCCTATCATACGTGGAGAAGGGACTGCCGGTACGGAGACTGGCAAACATCATGAATATAGTGGAGTTTGCTGCTTATATACTCTGCATGTTGTGTACAAGATGCAAGTGTTTTATAGCCATAGGTGACTGCCATATGAGGTGTTGTCACATGACCAATCAAGGCTTCTGTGCTGTACCGACCCCATAATGGGGGAAATGCTACATTCCAGTTGATATAACCACCAGAACTTCAAGATCTTAACGATTTACTGAAACAAGTGCATTCCATGGTACTAACCAGAGCAGGAGTGCATTTTTGTGCAGATGCCCAACACATTTTCCAAACCTTCAAAGGAGTTTTGCAAACCCCTAATGAGTTATGGACCCCAGAGCCAGCAACTTGATGTTGCTGAAATTCGGCTTGGGATGCACCTAGACACTACAAAGGTCTAAGGTGCATAAGATGATTTCTCAGGCATAGATAAAGGCAGTGTGTGTTCAAGCCTTAATGATATACAGATATTGCAATGAATGAATACCAGTAAAAGGAAAGGGATTATATTCTTCAATGCTATACTGTAGGCTAAAATAACTACAGTATGTAATATTATCTAAGTGTGCCCCAGAGGTGTTGCACTTTTGTTGAGGTAAACAGTGAAAACTTTGAAATATTGAGTTGTGTTGAGTATTTCTGATGGTACTTCAAGGAGACTGATAAACAGATAATTGTGTTTTTTCATCATTTGGATGAAAAGCAAAATGTGCATAGGGAAACTGCCCATTGGAATGCATGGCATTGCCTACAAAGTGCAAAACATCAAAGTGCTTGAACATCTGAGACAGTGCAATGTCTATCCACAGCCTCAGGACCTTTATGATGAAAGTGAAGAGTTCCTATATTGCTGGATGAGAAAGCCAGTATCTCCATAAGAGGCAGCTTGTCCAGAATGGATTCTTCTTCTTCTAGCTCAATTTGTCATTTTAGAACAGTTACCCCATTTCTGTTGGGTTGACACTTCCAAAAAAGGCCAAAAAGTAGTGCCATCATGCAAAGTCTTTCTTGTAATGGTGTCCCCAAGGGTCAATATACAGTAATCATATTATGTAATTATTTACAAATGCATTTTTCAAAGCAAGGTATATTTTTCACTTAAAGGGTATGTTTTTTATGGTGTTCCCATTTACACGACGATTGGCTACCATGCACAGCTGCACCAGATTTTGCACTTTCCAGTTTTAGTAAATAAACCCCACAGTGTTTTTGTCCCCACACAGGCTGAGCTATGCCACATTCACATACAGTGCAGGAGGGCAGTTTCTAAATTTTTAGCCCTTTGTTAGGACAGTGTTCAAATCTAGTTTACAGCTGATAATGAAGAACTGCATACAGTGCAGACATGAAAAAAATATATTAAACTTTACTCAAAAGCCCCCATCTAAACATCACAAAGCAGGGAGAGCATGTAAATATTTTTAAGCAAGTAAAAAGCACGTAAAAAGCTAACCAGCAATTTATAAATGTTTTAAGTAATGGGAACATGAAACAAATAAAAAGAATGATGTGACGGTTTGGTTGTAGAAGTCCCTGTTAGATCAGGGTCCCCAACAGAGTTCCCAATTACATCAGGATCCCTATCAGAGTTCCCATTTACATCAGGGTTCCCGTTACATCGGAATACCCATCAGAGTTCCCCTATTACATCAGGGTCCTCATCAGAGGTATCCCGTTACATCAGGGTCTCCATCAGATATCTCTCTTCACATCAGGGTCTCTATCAGAGTACCCCTTACATCAGGGTCTTCATCAAAGTCCCCCTTGCATTTGAATCCTCAATCTGTGCACATTGAGGATATGTCACTGCCCCTAGCCATGTGCCGGATAAAAGCTTGTAGCGGTCCAAGTTTGGCTCATGGGCCAAAGTTTGGAGACCCATGACCTATGGTATAAAAATATAAAAGAAGGTAGAAATTACGTGTTAGGTGGTGAAAAAGTCCTTACTTGAACCTGCTGGCTTGGGTTCAGCAGATCCACAAACCAGAAGGCCCCTTGGAAAACAGGGGTCACCAAGATTGAGCATTATAAAAGAATATTTCCTAGTGAAGGTCATGATGAGCCTCAGAGCCAAGCTGGGATCAAAGCAGAATTTTTTGATGATGTTTACCCATGGGTCACCTTTACCATATAAAGAAAGTACATTGGCCAACAGAAGCTCAAAAGATAAAATTACTTGAAGCCTAGGTCTGCGTGGTCCAATGGTGATACTGCCAGCATTAGAAGTACCCTCAAAATCCTCACCATGACTTGGTTTGATTTCATCCACTGATCTTTCCTTTTGAACATTTGGTCCTATCATATTATAGTATATTCCTATGTACTAAAAATGGAACGTATATTTATTTTGGCATTACTGTAGTACCAGATATTTTTTATATAGCCTTCTAATGAAAATGCATTATAATATATAAATCATTGATATATTGTATGTTGAAATACAGCACAAAGTATTTTTTAACAAAGTCATTCAGATCATTTGTATTGCTTGATTATGCTTGCGATGTTGCACTTTATCAGGTTTATTCAGTATTCAGTGTGGAGGGATGGTCATGTGCAAATCAGCAAGCCAACCAGATACCAATTTACTACAGTCATGGAACTACAGTTAATGGAAGATGAATTCTGGTTGGCTGATATGCGTTGAAGCACCTTGCACATGGCTTGGTTGAGTAAGCCTGTGTGTTTTTAAGATTTATCCCCATTTTATCTTAATAATAACCTACACAATAAACTACAAAGACTCATTTAATACATACATCAACTGTAAAAATTTATTTGTATAGTAAAGGGCTTTTATTGGTGAATGAATCTTTCATCCCAGCTTTGACCTGTTTGTATAATGTAACACCTGTTGCACCTCCTACAGAGGACAGATGGTATAACATTCTGAGCTTTTAGAGGTACCTAATTTTCGCAGCAGAATTGCACTCTCTGTATTGCTAAACAAGAGTATCTACAACTCATTTAAATAAAAGTAGAAAGAAGGCACTGATTATACATTTTTAAAGAGTCAGTTTCATTATCATTGGACACATTGGGGTTTATTTACTAAAGCTAGAGAGTGCAAAATCAGGCTCACTTCTGCATGGAAACCAATCAGCTTCCAGGTTTTATTGCCAAAGCTTAATTGAACCAGATGAGGTTAGAAGCTGATTGGCTACTTTGCAGAAGTGTCAGGGCAGGAGCTGTGGAACGGACAGGCAGGCTTAGTGGCAGAGTCACGCACTGACTGACGACAACCACCACCCACAGACTGGAGTCCCTCAGGGCACGGAGTCTAAGTCCCAGGCTGCCCTTCACCAGGGCCCCTGATGGTGGGGATGGACTTGACGCAGCCAGGGACCAGGTCGCGGCCCCTGAGACACCCCAGCTGCGGTAATGGCCACCGCCAATGGCGTGTAGCTTGTAGTAACCAGATCAGACAATAGCGTAGTCGGAAAGGGCAGGCGGGTCGACAACAACGGGACAAACGGTACAGAACAGTAGACAAGAATAACAGGTCACAGGGCGGGTTCAGCAACTGGAGGTCAGATCAAAGGAAAACGCAGAGAATGGTCTAGTCAAAAGCCGAGTCAGATTCCAGGAGAGTCACGAGAGTATAAAGAGAGCTGTTGCAACACTAACACAAAAGACACGAATGCAAAGAGTACGTGCGGACAACAGGCTTATATGTGATCAACCACACCCCTCTGGGGGATGGACCGCAGAGGCCTGAGGGCATAAAAGACTCCCACCATGCTCTGCAGAAACCCAAGATGGATGCCAGCACATGGAGCAGCATAACCTCTGGGAAAAGGTAGGACCTTGACAAGAAGTGAGCCTGATTTTGTACTTTCCAGCTTTAGTAAATAAACCCCATTGACTTTGGTTCAACATCACTCCACAAAACAATTACCTCTGAAGGAAGCGAAGAAAACCCAGAGCTGAAAGTCCAAACAAAGGTTCAAGAGTCCAAAACTTTTAATGATAAAATGAATTACCAGTAGAAGAACACAAGACAGCCAATGTGTTTCAGGGGTGAAACCAACTCTCCCTTCTTCAGGGCTTGAGTCTTTCAATCGTAGGGCTCTAAATTTGGCATAATCACCAGAGATGAATCCTGATCATATGAAAATTGCAGGAAACCTTGGCTCTGTGCAGCATGGAGAAAAAATGATTAGGCCAATTTAAGTGTCCTACTATATCAAAGACTAACCATAATGCTTGAAAAATGCCTGTTTAAGCTAATTTTTTAGGTAATTCCATTTAAAAGTCTATGGGTACAAAAACACACAATACTGGCCCTGTAGTACAGGTTGCATGGGAAAAAAAACCTCTAAATTGCCTGGCTATGCTCACACTAGGTGGGAATGGGGGCGAGGACATTAAAAGACTCTGACAGCCATGGGAAAGACCCCCAGGTGCTGAGGCCAGAGGCATAATCGGATTTGCAGTTTCACAGATGGAGTACTGAGGATGCCTACCCCTGGATGAGATTTTTACTGCATCTAGAATTTTACCCTCAGAGATCAGTATATCACCATATAGTTATTTTAAAAAAAACATGTTGTGTGCTAAAATTCACTTTAAAGTTGATTATTTTACTATTTATATATAGAGTAGAGGTAAGGTTATATACACATAGACAAGAT